AATATTTTCTTAAAATATGTTTTTTCCTATTTAGGAACTGATGAATCCCCAGAACCACTGCCAATCCCTACGTTTTTGTTGGGTTATGATTATGATTTTCTGGTGCTTTCTCCATTTGCGCTCCCTTATTGGGAGAGACTTATGCTGGAACCCTATGGATCTCAAAGAGATATAGCCTATGTTGTATTATGTCCAGAAAATGAAGCCTTGTTAAATGGAGCCAAAAGCTTTTTTAGAGACCTCACTGCGATATATGAGGTAGGTGTTTAAAAAGAGGTAGCATTCGGTGGCGGGGCGGGTAGTGGGGAAGTCAGCTTCTCCCTCTTCCTCTGCTCCTCTTCCTGACTCCTGCGCGCGTGCGCGCTCTCTCACACTCTCTCTCTTAAATAAAGATCTTTAAAAAAATAAAAAGAGGTGGCATTTTAAAACTATAATTTGTATATTTATATATGAAGTATACTGGGCAGTTCATTTGATTGGGACAGAGTAATAATGATGGGAAACTAGTTGTATAGTTCTCATGCTAGCCAGTTATGTTCTTTACAGCATTTGACCTGGACTGTTGTTCGATGTGTGTGCCATGGGTCACAGTGAAATCACTGTATTGGGGAAAAACCATTGAAGACATATATATGCCATTTAAGGTCATCTTTTTTTTTAAATAAAGGGTTGCATTATTAAATAGCCAGGAAAAAAATTACATTTGTAAAAATTCTAGTCCTGATTCTCTAGACCTCAGGTGCTGACACTAGGCCTCACTTTCATAAAGTAAAGTTGTGTTAGATTTCTCTATGATCTTATCATTTCTGAAATTCTTGACTGATCTTTTAAATTCTTAACTGATATTATAATTCTCATGTTGTATCCCTCACTGAGTGCAGTGATTACAAATTTTAAGTGCTACAGGACATAAAGTCTTAACTTCATTATACTTTCCTTTCCCCATAAATGCTTAGAAATCCAGTCTTTAAAATTTAATTTCTTCTACAGTCTGAGTTGTCAGTTTGTGCTGACTTAGCTCCTTTTAAATGTTCCACTTAATTACAAGGTATCTGTCCTATAGATTTGGGAAATAAATATTTCCCAAAGAGTGTTACTTGGAACACTAGTTCTGCAAAATCTTTCCAGAAAAAAGTTCCATAATTAAACAGGTTTGGGGAAACATTATATATTATTTTACTTTTTAAGAGATTCACTATTCAGGGGCGCCTGGGTGGCTCAGTCGTTAAGCGTCTGCCTTCGGCTCAGGTCATGATCCCAGGGTCCTGGGATCGAGCCCCGCGTCGGGCTCCCTGCTCGGCGGGAAGCCTGCTTTTCCCTCTCCCACTCCCCCTGCTTGTGTTCCCTCTCTCGCTGTGTCTCTCTCTGTCAAATAAATATATAAAATCTTTAAAAAAAAAAAAAAAAGATTCACTATTCATATTAGATTATTAAAGCTTTTGAAAGTTGGGTTTTTTGGTTTTTTTTTTTTTTTTAAGCTTTTTAAAGTCTTAACACTAAAGAAATCCTCTGTCTAGGGGTGCCTAGCTGGTTCATTTGGTGGAAGTGTGACTCTTGATCTCAGGGTTGTAAGGTCAAGCCCCACATTGGGTGTGGAGCCTACTGAAAAAAAAAAAAAAAAGAAATCCTCTGGATTTTCTTAATTTAGTATTACATACTTATTTGATATTGGACTTCTTGTAACAAACATCAGTGGCCCACAGAATTGGAGGGAGAGCTGACAAATACATGGTATATTTATATACCAATTTTTATTTTTATTTGACTTGGATATATGTGCATTTTTATGCTCACTTATATCTGTATACTACAAGTTTTCATTATTCAAACCACATGGTCCTTGTGCCATTATTATCCACGTGTTTTATTTCATTGGAGTTTAATTTAAAAAAAAAAACTTAATGGATTTCTAATGTAAAAAAGAAAAAGATGTACTATTTCACTTGATATTTTTATCCCAAATGTTAATTATAAATTGTAAAGCTTAATTTAAATAACTTAAATGCTTGGGGCACCTGGCTGGCTCAGTTGCCATGGAGCTCTTGATCTCAGGGTTGTGAGTTCGAGTCCCATGTTGGGTGTAGAGATTACTTAGAAATATATCTTTTAAAAAATAAATAACTTAAATGTTTGATTTTATAGTGTGGACTCATACTATAATAAATTCACTAATTCTGCTTTATGTATATCTGTAGTCCTGTCGATTAGGTCAGCATAGACCTATTTCTCGACTGTTGACGGATGGGATCATGAGAGTTGGATCTACTGCATCAAAGAAACTATCAGAAAAGTTGGTAGCAGAATGGTTTTCTCAGGCAGCTGATGGTAACAATGAAGCATTTTCTAAACTCAAGCTTTATGCACAAGTCTGCAGATATGACCTAGGTATTAAATTTGTATTTATTTTATAAAACCAGTGGTTGCAAAGTATGGCCCAATGTATCCGCTGTTTTTGCAAATAAAATTTTATTGGAACCCAGCTCTGCTCATCTGTTTACATATTGTCTGTGGCTGCTTTTGTGCTACAAGATCCGAGCTGAATAGTTAAGACAGAGACTGTGTGACCCACAAAACCCAAAATATTTACTGTCTGACCCTTTAGAGAAAAAGTTTGCTGATCCCTAAAATAGGGATCCTATCAGGTAAGAAGAAATTGTGGGTATAAACAATTTCCTTTGCTTCTGTAGGATCTGATGAATTTGTGTTTTTATTTACGCTTACTAACATTAAGATTCTTGATTTGTTAATGGTTTAGAGATAAAATAACTTGTAGTTACCTCTACAACACCAAGAAAACAGTTCTTTGTTGGAACTAAGAAAATGATAACTATTTAAGACTTGCTTTTAACACTCTTGAATTAACATTGGATTAAATATCAATGGACTTTAGACTTAATCCAAGGAAACACAGAACCAAAATATTGACCCTCATTAGGCATCTCTATAGTATGAACCCCATGATAACATTTTTTATTTTATATCTAGTTAGCTCACAGTTTAGTCAGTGTTTATTCAACTTGTGATTTAGGAACCCTTTGAATGGTTTGATGAAAATTTGCTAGATATTGTTTTCATTCAATTAATTATATCTAGTAAATACAATTTTGTTAACTTTCATGGGAACCATTTATTTTGTATGAAAATGCTGTTTACTTTTTCAGTTCCATTTAAAATTTGTTTCTTCAGTTTCTGGGCAAAAGAAAAAGCTTTATCTCCTACATTGTTAGCATGCAGCTAAGGGAGGGTAATTACCAAAAAGCATCAACTAGATTATTATTCACATAGTAGAATAAAAAAAGAACCAATCAGTGAAGTAAAGAATTAAATATCCTGCCTGTTTTTATTACCTTTAGGTCCTTATCTTGCTTCCCAGCCTTTGGACAGCTCTCTACTTTCCCAGCCAAATTTAGTTGCCCCTACAAGTCAATCTTTGATTACTCCACCTCAGATGACAAGTACTGGAAATGCTAATACTCCATCTGCCACCCTAGCATCTGCAGCAAGCAGCACTATGACAATGACTTCAGGTGTTACCATGTCTTCTTCAGTTGCCACAGCTAATTCAACTTTGACCACAACTTCAACTTCATCTTCATCATCCTCCAACTTGAATAGTGGAGTATCATCAAATAAACTGCCCTCATTTCCACCCTTTGGCAGTATGAACAGTAGTGCCACAGGATCCATGTCTACACAAGCAAGTACAGTTCAGAACGGCCAGCTAGGAGGGCAACAGTCATCAGCTCTACAAACAGCAGGGATTTCTGGAGAATCATCTTCACTTCCCACTCAGCCTCATCCTGATGTGTCTGAAAGGTACCTTTACTATTCTTTGCAGAAATGTAAATATATTATGCTTCTTTCTGTCTAAGATAGTCCTTGTGAATGCACATGGAGAGTTTTTTGATCTCACCCTTGAAATTTTAGTTTTTGTAATGTTGATTATTTTATCTTTAAAATTATAATGCATGGAATCCTTTAGCATGGAATCCTAAACTTTAGCATGGAATCCTAAAATCTCATCATGGGAATTAAGACCTTTAAAACCATTTAGTTCAACTATGCTGTGATGTTTGAATCTCTTCTGTGACATAACTGTTAAGTAGATTAGCCTTTGCAAATCACTACAATGATTTAGAAGTCACTACTGAACCAGTCTGTTCAGAGCTTATTAAGAGCCATACAGAGATTTGAATCTCAGCTCTGCCATTTACTGGCTATGTGACTTTAGGAAAGTTGTCTGACTTCTCAGAGCATGTTATCTGTAAAATGGGAGCAGTAGGATATAATGTACATTAAGTGCTTTATACAATGCTTCCAAACACGTGAGTTATTTATGACAACAATGATGATTGCAGTTCTCTATTCCTTTTATGATGAAGGTATTGAGTGAGCTTCCCTTTTGACTTACAGGTTAGGTTAACATGAGCTTAGTAATATCTTTCAGTTACCCAGATGCACTTTGCTCAAAGTTAAACTTATTTATGTGAGTAAAAACAAACTATTAATTTACCCAGATTGATGCATTCATCTTGAACATCTAAATAGATTTGGAGTTTTAAAAAAATCATATCACCATCGAAGAATGAAGCTTGTGCACTATTAAAGTTACAAAGTGTGAAATGAATATGTAAAGGCTATTAATGTAGTAGAACATTGACTAAGTCTGAAAACCTGGTTTCTTTCTGGTCTGGCTCTGCTTTGTCATCTTTAGCAGCTCAGTTAACTATCTTTTGTCTCAGTTTTATCACTTAAGCATTAAGCTCTCTAGTGTTTTTGGATATTCTGTGGTTTTAAAAATTCTATTCCCTTTTTTAATGCAAGCCCTCTTAACGTAAGGGTATTTGTATACCATAAAATTGTGTGCACAGTGTTTACTATTCTATTTGGAGAGAAAGAGATGTCCCTTAATTTTTAGAGAAGCTCTCCGACACCCCCCCACCAGAAGAAGGGGAGAGGTTATTAAGAACCTGCTTTTTGATATTACCTCAAAAAGTATGGTACAACTTTTTTCCTAACTGTATATTTCTACCTTAAATTTTAGCACGATGGATCGGGATAAAGTGGGTATCCCCACAGATGGTGATTCACATGCAATCACTTATCCACCTGCAATTGTTGTTTATATAATTGACCCTTTTACCTATGAAAATAAAGATGAGAGCACTAATTCTTCTAATGTATGGACTTTGGGGCTACTTCGATGCTTTCTGGAAATGGTCCAGACTCTTCCTCCTCATATTAAGAGTACTGTTTCTGTACAGGTAAGGGTAATTTTTGCAAGTTAAACAGTTTGATGTAGACAGAAGTTAAAGCCAGGTTCTATTATATTTTACTTTAAGTGATATTATAATAGAATCCTTAGGTATTTTATAAAAGATAAACTTTACAGTCATACCACAATAATGGAGAATAAAAAGGTTGCATTTAAGTACATTAAATATTTCTCTTGTGTTATTTTTATAAAACAGTTTTTAAATTCATAAGCTTAAATAGAAGACCAGAGCATAGATCTATATAAACTAGAGTTCTAAATAAGATAGATTGCAAGTAAAAGTAGAAATTAATGATATTAGGGGTGCCAGGGTGGCTCAGTTGGTTAAGGTCTGACTTTTGATCTTACTAGCTCATGTCTTGATCTCAGGGTCATGAGTTCAAGCCCTACATTGAGCTCCACACTGGGCCTGGAGCCTACATTTTAAAGGGGTGGGCTGCTGGGTAGCTCAGTTGGTTAAGTGTCTTACTCTTGATTTTGGCTCAGATTATGATCTCAGGGTCCTATGATCGAGCTCCTTGTCAGACTCCGTGCTCAGCGGGAAATCTGCTTGAGGATTCTCTCTCTCCCTCTCCTTCTGCC